CCCCCGCCGGGGCCCCCCCGGCCCCCGCCGCCGCCCCGCCGCCCCTCGCCCCCCCGCAGGTCTCTCCCCAGGACTACCAGAACGTGCCCATCGACATCCAGACCGGCAGGCTCCTGGGTACGGCAACCCCGGCATCACCTCCACCGTGCGGGAGCCCACCCCGCAGGGTGGGCAGGGAGTTGGCGGGGGGGAGGGGGGGGCGCAGCGGTCACTCGTGTCCTTCTTCCCCGGGAGGGTTTGTCACCCCGCCGTGTGGCAGCTCACGGCCCCAGCGCTGCCGCTCTAGGTGTCGTGTTGGGTTGGCCCAGCCCGGACAGCAGAGGGGTGACATCCCTCCGACCCCCCCTTTCCCCTCTAGCCCTTCCCAAATCCGGGGCTTTATCCCTGTGTTTGCCCCCTCTGCCAGGGCCGCTGCTCCCTGCCTCCATCGCAGGGCAGCCTGAGGGGGGGGTGACCCCCTCCTGGTGAGCCCACACACACCCCCGGGGTCCCTCTCCCACCTGACCCCTTGTTTTTCCCTCCCTCTCATCTGCCTGGCAGACTGGCTGGTGGACAGGAGACACTGCAACCTGAAATGGCAGAGCCAGGTGCTGGTCATCCGCGAAAAGATCAACACGGCCATCCAAGACATGCCGGAGAACGAGGAGATAAAGCAGCTGCTCGCGGGGGCCTGTGAGTGGAGCCTGGGGTCGGGGGTGCCCCGGAGAGCTGAGATGCGGGCAGCCAGGGTGGGTGTCACAACCGGGAGCCTGTTCCCGAGGGTTCGGTTACGGCAACCTTCCTCCGGCTGAGGAGGAGATGGGGAGTGGGTGGCACGGCCCCTTCTAAGATCTGCGCTCCCTGGGCTGAGCTGGGAGAACGTGGCACTTGGCAGACATCCTGGTGACCGTGTCCCACTCTCCAACGCAGACCTGCACTACTTCCACTGCCTGAGGATCGTGGAGATCCTCAAGGGCACTGAGGCTTCCACCAAGAACCTCTTTGGACGCTATTCGTCCCAACGCATGAAGGTGAGCATGGGCCTGGGGGCATGAGGCTGGCGGCAGCCGGGGTGTTCGCAGCCTCCCCCACCCTCTGCTTCCTCCTCCCCAGGACTGGCAGGAGATTGTGTCCCTCTACGAGAAGGAGAACACCTACCTGGGTAAGGCAGCTCTGGCTGCCGGCAGGCTCCGGAGAGCCCTTTGGGGGGTGTCAGTGGGTGGCTTTCAGTCTCCAAACTGGGATGAGGATGGAGCGGGCAGGGAAAGGGGCGGGACGTGATGGGCTGCCAAGTCCCACTGGGGTGAGGACCCTGAGCTGGCTCTGCTGCGCAGCTGGGAAGGCAGCCGAGGTGGCTGGGGCACCCCAAGGACCTCGTGGGTGGCTGGAATGGCCTCTCAGCAACCCCCCCCATGCTACGACCCCCTTGCAGCCGAGCTCGCCAGCCTCCTGGTGCGCAGCATCAGCTACGAGATCCCCTCGCTGAAGAAGCAGATCAGCCGGTGCCAGCAGGCCCAGCAGGACTTTGCCCGCCGTGAGGAAGAGTGTCAGCTGGGGGCGGCTGAGCTGCGGGAGCGGTTTTTCACCTCCTGCAAGCAGTACGGCATCACCGTGAGTCCCTGTGGCCGGCCCCAGGGTGGAGGGGGTCCTGCTGTGCCACGTCCCTCCCCAAAGCAGCCCCCAGACACCTGCGTTTGGCCTCAGCAGGGCTCAAGCTGGGACCATGTGTCCCATATGGTGTCCCCATGGTGCCACCTTACCTGTGGGAGAAGCTGGGGGGGGCGTAGGGTGACCCCACAGCCCTCCGTCCCCTTCCTGGCCAGGTCTAACTCTGCAAACAGAGGCTGAAGCCACCCTGTGGGTGCTTTGGCTGCCAGCCTCCCTGCCCTGAGACGTCCCTGCTCTGTCCCCAGGGTGACAACGTGCGCCAGGAGCTGCTGGCCTTAGTGAAGGACCTGCCATCGTCGCTCACCGAGATTGGAGCGGGAGCCAGTGCGCTCTCCGAGGCCATCGAGCTGTACCAGGCCTGTGTGGAGTTTGTGTGCGAGAGGTGGGCAAGGGGTGGGTATGGGGGTGCAGGGATAGACCCCCACATCTCCTCTCCCCACATCTCCTCTCCTAATGTGTGAGGATAGCGGGTTGGGCTGGCGGCTGCACCCAGGCTGGGGGGGTCTCCCAGAGGGACCCTGGTAGGGTTGGGGGTGCTGGGGGGTCCCCAACCTGTGCCTGGCACTGATGTCCCCGCGGTGGCTGCCAGTTCCGAAGAGCTGGTGGTGCCCCTGCTACGGCACGTGGGGAAGAGAGGCAACACGACCGTCTATGAGTGGAGGACGGGGCTCCAGCCTCTGCGGGTGGAGCGGCCGGAGGTGGAAGAGGTGCCAGAGCAGCCGAAGGAGGACACGGTACGTCCTGGCCAGCCGGGGCCAAGTTGTGGTGCTGGGGAGAGCCCCAGCTGGCTCTGCCATGTGTTGGTTAGGGTTAGGCTGTTTGCCACCGGGGTTTCAGGGGGTCTGTTGTCCTTCTCCCCGCAGATCGACTGGGGAGACTTCACGCTGGAGCCGACCAGGGTGGATGACGGTGCCGCTGCCAACGGGGGAGCGCAGGGCGAGGAGATAGACTGGGGGATCACGCTAGAGCCTGGTCCCCAGGTGTGTAAGCCCTGGCTGTGTGGTCCTGGGGTCTGGCCCCACTCCAGGACAGGGCTGGGGACCTGGAGGTGTCCTGGGCACCCCCATCTCACAGGGTGCCCTTTCTTTTGCAGCAGGATGATGGCATTGACTGGGGAGACGGTGAAAGCGAGGAGGTGCAGATCACGGTGCTGGAGGCCGGCACTGAGGGTGAGCACAGCTGCAAAGGGACAGAGGGGGTCCCGATGGGTGGCAGGCAGCACCCACCCTGCCTTCACTCCCCATTCCCTGCCTGCAGTGACCCTGGGCATCCTGGCTGTGCACGAAAGCCTGGTGGGGACTCCACTAAACGGTGCCCTGGGGTGATGCTGAGCACCCAGTGCAGGACGGGCTGTGGTGGGGGGTATGACCAGACTATCCGAGCCATGGAGATCCCTTCTCTGCCCCGCTCACCCCCTGGCTCATCCCCCAGTGCCCGAGGGAGTCGCCTCTGGCTCCGACGCCCTGACACTCCTGGAAAACACCGAGACCCGGAGCCAGTTCATCGACGAGCTCATGGAGGTATGACATGGCAGGCAGGGCTGGAGCTGGGTAAGGGGCAGCTCTGCTGCCATCCCACCGCAGGGTTGGCAGTACTGGAGCGTCCCCCTGCTCTGTCCCTGCAGCTGGAGCTGTTCCTGTCCCAGCGCCTGGTAGAGATGGAGGAGGAAGCTGACATCGTGGCCGTCAGCCAGTTCCAGCTGGCCCCCGCCGTGCTGCAGGGCCAGACCAGCGCCCATGTGGGCTCCCTCCTGGCCACCACCCGGGCTCTGCTGGGCCAGCTCTGCACCCGCAGCATGCAGCACCTCTTCATGATCCTCGCTTCCCCCAGGTCTTCGCTTGGGGGTTGGGAAAAACAGGGGGGGCAGGGTTGGGGTGGGGACTGTGGGGCTCTGCGGGGCAGATCTGAAGTAGGAGGTGGAGGTGTGCTGGGGTGGGGATGGCACCTGGGTGGGCGATAGAGGGGGTGATGGATGGTCCTGGCTCTCCCCAAACAGGTACGTGGACCGCGTGAGTGAGTTGCTGCGGCAGAAGCTGAAGCAGGCGGAGCTGCTGCTGGCCAAGAAGGAGATGATGAGCCAGAAGCAGCAGGAGGCCCTGGCAGAGCAGGGTGCCTTGGAGCCCAAGCTCGACCGTCTGCTGGAGAAGACCAAGGAGCTCCAGAAGCTGGTGAGGGAGGGAGGGTGGACCCCACTGGGATGCTGCAGGGCCCCCCTCCTTTGCCACCCCCTGA